GACAGGCAGAGTGGACAGTGAGAGAGAGAGACAGAGAGAAAGGTCTTCCTTTTGCCGCTGGTTCACCCTCCAATGGCCGCCGCTGCAGCCGGCGCACCGCGCTGATCCTGGCAGGAGCCAGGAGCCAGGTGCTTTTCCTGGTCTCCCATGGGGTGCAGGGCCCAAGCACCTGGGCCATCCTCCACTGCACTCCCTGGCCATAGCAGAGAGCTGGCCTGGAAGAGGGGCAACCGGGACAGAATCCGGCGCCCCAACCGGGACTAGAACCCGGTGTGCCGGCGCCGCAAGGTGGAGGATTAGCCTATTGAGCCACGGCGCCGGCTCAATTTAGCTTTTATACTTTTCAAAATTACAAGTGCATAAAATCCATCGATGCTTAATACAGAAAAACATGTTTCCAGCCCACCTCTAGCCTCTACTTCTTGCTCTAGGAAAGCAACTGCTTTTAATTCTATTAACTGGCTTTAATATTTATCTCTTACTTTTAAATAACCTGCTTATATTTCTTCTGGTTTTTGAGTTTTAGACGTCATGGACACTTTCCTGTAGAAAATAATCACTTAGCTCTCTTTTTTTAAGGACTTGGGCCATGGTCCACTGCTTTCACAGGTGTCCCAAATGGTGTCTTAACCACTGCATCAGACAACCGTCTCTGCTGTAGATTTCAACTGTTTCTCTGTTTTTCAAAATCACATGGCATTAGTGTTATGCTCTGCATACATAAATAACCTCCATTTTGTTTCATCTATATTCTGACAAATTTTTTGTTCTTAATTCCTTTCTCCATCTCTAAACTTGTATCTGGGATTATCTCTTTTGCCTGAGGAACAAAATACCCCTTCCTTTCGTATAGGTCTGCAGGCGATGAATCCCATTTCTTGCTTTTCTGAGAATGTCTTCGTGCTGCCTAATCCCTGGAAGATATTTTCACTGTACACTGAATTCTGGGTTGGCAAGCATCTCCTACGAGCAGCATAAGCAGATCACTGCTCTTGGCATCAGTGTTGTTGCAGTGACAGCTGAAGTCTAACAGGTGCTTCTTTAAAGCAAATCTTTTTGTTTTGGCCACTTTAATATCCTTCTCTTGCTGGGACTTACTGAACCCTCACCATGGTGCTTCTAAATGTAAATTTCTTTATGCTTATCCTGTCTGGGTTTCTGTGTTCCTCAATGCTGACTGTCATTTATCAGTTCAAAGAAATTCTTAGTCATGAGGCCTGTAAACGTTGTCTATGCTCACTCTCACTCTCATTTTCTTCTAGAATTTCAATGATATATTTACTGATTAATGGCATACTCATACCAATTTGTATTTTGCTTCCTATTTCTGTGCTTCATCCTGTATTTTTGTGAGGTTTCTTGCAACTGATTAATTTTCTTTGGTTTAATTTGCTGTAAATCTCTTTCATTCAGTATTTTATTTAGATTCTTGTACTTGAAAATTCTACTGGCACCTGGCTGATGCTTTCAATTTTGGCTTTTATCTATAAATATAATAACGATATTATTTCACTGTATTTGCCTTATATCTAGAGTTTCAGTGTATCTGTCTTGTTATTTCTGCTGTCTTGTACTGTCACATGGCTTGTATTTGAAAATTTATTTATCTATTTTTGACAGGCAGAGTTAGACAGTGAGAGAGAGAGACAGAGAGAAAGGTCTTCCTTCCATTGGTTCACTCCCCAAATGGCCGCTATGACCAGTGCACCGCGCCTATCTGAAGCCAGGAGCCAGGCACTTCCTCCTGGTCTCCTATGCGGGTGCAGGGCCCAAGCACTTGGGCCATCCTCCACTGCCTTCCCGGGCCACAGCAGAGAGCTGGACTGGAAGAGGAGCAACTGGGACAGAATCTGGTGCCCCAACCAGGACTAGAACCCAGGGTACCGGCGCCGCAGGCGGAGGATTAGCCTAGTGAGCCACGGCGCCAGCCTGAAAATTTTCTTAAAGTAGTTTGAGGGTTGGAGAGTGTTATCTTCTTTCAGAGAAGAGTTCTGTTTGTTCTGTTGGGCACTTGTGGGAACTGACAGTCCAGAAGAAAGGCTTGAGATTTTCTAGATCACCCACTGCTGCTGCAAACAATTCATTTCAAGGGCTTCAGCCCAGAGTGGGTGGCCATTTACTACAATCTTTGACAAGGTGCCAACCTTGTCCCTCCTTCAAGAAAAGACCAATTTTACTTTTTGGCCACTTTCTCCAGATCCTTAAGTGCTTTTAGTGCAAACCTGGCATTGAATGCGGGCCTGCCTCTTGGGAGGTCTAGCCCTCTGCCTATCTTGACCTGGAATCCTCCAATATTTCAACTGAGTCAATACCTTTTGATCCTTTAAAGTTTTATTTTTTAAATTATTTCATCCAGTTGTTACAGTTGCTGAACTACATAATTTAAACATTATCAAAGCCTTAGGTTTTTTTTTGTTTTTGTTTTTGTTTTTTACAGGCAGAGTGGACAGTGAGAGAGAGACACAGAGAGAAAGGTCTTCCTTTGCCGTTGGTTCACCCTCCAATGGCCGCCACGGCCGGCGCAACACGCAGATCCAAAGGCAGAAGCCAGGTACTTCTCCTGGTCTCCCATGGGGTGCAGGGCCCAAGCACCTGGGCCATCCTCCACTGCACTCCCTGGCCACAGCAGAGAGCTGGCCTGGAAGAGGGGCAACCGGGACAGAATCCGGTGCCCCGACCGGAATTAGAACCCGGTGTGCTGGCACCGCAAGGCGGAGGATTAGCCTAGTGAGCCGCGGCGCTGGCCTAGGTCATTATTTTTTTAAAAGATTTATTTGAAAGGCAGAATTACAGAGAGGCAGAGGCAGAGAGAAGTCTTCCACCTGCTGGTTCACTTCCCAGATGGCCACAATGGCAGGAGCTGGGTCGATCTGAAGCCAGGAGCCAGGAGCTTCTTCCAGGTCTCCGCAGAAGGGAGAGGGGCCCAAACACCTGGGTCATCTTCTACTGCTTTTCCAGGCCAGAACAGAGAGCTGGATTGGAAGTGGAGCAGCTGGGCCTCAAACTGGCTCCTGTATGGGAAGCTGGCACTGCAAGTGGCAGCTTTACCTGCTACGCCATGGAGCTGGCCCAGCTAGGTCATTTTTTATGTCTACATCTATAGTGCAAATAATTTTTATTAATGAGGTTAGGATTTTAAAGTGTTTTGCAAAAGCAATCAACTGCCAGATTCCTTAACAGTCAAATATAAAAAATGGCTTTATTAACATCAGCAACATAGTATTTTCTTCCATGTTCTCATGCCATAAAAATATTATCAGATGAAAAAGACAGATTTTGAACCATGTCAAGTTCTAAAAAGAGATTACTGACGATGAGAGTTTCTATTACAGATACTGGGTGTCAATAGACAACCATAGGGGACGGCACTGTGGCATAGTAGGTAAAGCTGCTTCTTATAGTGCCAGCATCCCATGTGGGCACCGGTTAGAGTCCCAGCTGCTCCACTTCTGATCCAGCTCTCTGCTATGGCCTGGGAAAGCAGCAGAGGATGGCCCAAGTATTTGGGCCCCTGCACCCACATGGGAGACCTGAAAGAGGCTCCTGGCTTTGGATAGGCGCAGCTCCGGCTGCTGTGGCCAACTGAGGAGTGAACCAAAATATTTTTTTTTTTTAAATCTTTTTAAAAAAAAGTAGAAACGGAAATTACTGGCAAGAAATCAGAACTGCATTAAAATGCAGCTTGAGATGCCCGCATTCCTTATCCTAGTGCCTGGTTCAAGTGCTGGCTCCTCCACTTCTGATCCAGCTTCCTGCTAGTGCCCATCCTGGGAGGCAGCACTCCTGTGGAAGACCTGGACTGAGTGCCTGGCACCTGCTGTCAACTTCACCCAGCTCTGGCTGCTGCAGGCATTTTGGGAGCAAACCAGTAAATGAAGATCATTCTTTGTCCTCTGCCTTTCAAATAAGTGGGATAAATAAATAAAATAATAAATAATTTAAAAAGCTATCAGTTAAAAAGAGGAGATATTCATTATATTAGATATGTGAAAGATTTGAATATCAAAAATTTAGTAATATAGACTTGTATACTCTAGAATATCAAATCACACACTTGTTTAGAACATTTACAAAATCATGATTTTGAATATTTGAACTCAATCTATAAGCAAAGCATGGAAAACAACGAAACACATCATAAATGTAAAAAGAAAACAAGAATTCTCCATAATATAGAAAATATTAACTAGGCAAAATAGAGGGTAGAATAAAAAGAAATAATAAAGCTAAACCAGATGATTTTTTTCATTCTTTACAGTGGTAAGCTAATAAACACTCTTAGGTTGCTACTGAAAGTTCTCGAAACTTTCACCTCAAGATAAAAGTATTGGGGCCAGTGCTGTGGTGTACTAGGTTAAGCCTCCACCTGCAGCACCAGCATCCTCTATGGGCACCAGTTTGAGTCCTGGCTGCTCCACTTCTGATCCAGCTCCCTGCTGATGGCCTGGGAAAGCAGCGCAAGATGGCCCAAGTGCTTGGGCTTCTGCAAGTGGGAGACCCAAAGCTCCTGGTTCCTGGCTTTGGATTGGCCCAGCTCCAGCCGTTGCAGCCATCTGGTAAGTGGACCACTATGGCATCAGAAGGTAATGTGGATACTATATATTTCACAGTGGGCAGCGTATACAGTAACGTTGGAAGAGTTAAGATAAAGAGAGATAAGCTGTCATGATGGTAACCACCGGAAACAGAAAGGGAGAGCCATCACATCTGAAAAGTAGGATTAGGAGGCTCAAGGAGAGATCCAGAGAGCTAAATAACTATACCACCTGTTCAGTACTTTTATGACATGTAAATGAAGATACTTCAAAATGTTTGTGGGGGTCAGAGCTGTGGTGAAGTGGGTTAAGCCTCTGCCTGTGGTGCCAGCATCCCATATGGGTGTCAGTTTTGAGTCCCAGCTGCTCTTCTTCCACTTTAGTTCTCTGCTATGGCCTGGGAAAGCAGAAGATTGTCCAAGTGCTTAGGCCCCTGCAACTGCATGGGAGACCTGGAAGAAGCTCCGGGCTCCTGGCTTCAGACTGGCTCAGCCCTGGTCGTTGGGGCCATTTGGGGAGTGAACCAGCATATGGAAGACCTCTTTCTTTCTGTCTGTAATTCTACCTTTAAAATAAATAAATAAAATCTTTAAAAAAACATTTGTGTAAAATGGGCTAGCGTTATGGCACAGTGGGTTGAACTGTTGCCTGTGATACTGGCATCCTATATCAGAGAGCTGGCTTGAGTCCCAGCTGCTCCATTTCCAATCCAGCTTTCTGCTAATTCACCTGGGAAGGCAGTGGATGATGGTTTCAAGAAATGGGGATGCTATCACCCATGTGGGAGATCTGGATGGAGTTCTTGGCTCCTGGCTTCAGCTTGGCCTAGCCCGGGTCATTGCGGCCACTTGGGGGAGTGAACCAGCAGATGGAAGGTTTCCCATACCCCCCGTAACTACCTTTCAAATAAATAAATAAAAAAATTTTAAGTTTGTGTAAGTGGAATTAAAATATGCTCATTTTAGTGAAAAAATTGTTAAAGATTTTTTATTTGAGATTTATTTATTTGAAAGTCAGAGTTATAGAAAGAGAGGGAGAGACAGAGACAGAGGGCCTCCATCTGCTGGTTAACTTCCCGGATGGCTGCAGAGGGCTGGGCCAAGCTGAAGCCGGGAGCCAGGAGCCCCATCTGGTCTCTCATGTGGATAACAGGGCCCAAACACCCATGCCATCCTCCCCTGTTCTTCCTAGCCCACCAGCAGAGCACTGGATCAGAAGCGAAGCAGCTGGGATGAAAACCGGTGCCCACATCGGATGACAAATGTTACAGGTGGCGGCTTTACCCACCGTGCCACAACGCCAGCCAATATTTTGAAGCCCATGCATAGTTTTTTTTTAAAGATTTATTTTTTTTATCTGAAAGTCAGAGTTACACAGCGAGAGGGGAGAGAGACAGTGAATCTCCCATCAGTATGGAATGCCAGTGTCACAGGTGGTGCCTTTACCCGCTATGCTACAGTGCTGGCTCCAAGTATTTTCATAACACAAGTTTTCCATGAACTTGTTGAAGATTTCCTTGGACTATATCATTTGTGTAATAAAATAATTTAATTAACAATATGAATAAGGTTATCAGGGAATACAGAGCACTTTGGATTTCCTTATTCCTTGAGTTTTCCCACATGTACATTCAAAACAAACTTTTAAAAATACTGTTTTTCATTTCCATCTCAAACTCCGAAGAATTCTATAAGATATTTTTATGTAATTAACAATTTTTCTATAACATAAATAATGGTAGCATTTACCTGGAAAAATATACACATTGTTTCCTTGACCGGGGGTAAAGACGCGCCCGTCTTCCAGTTTCACTGGCCCAAATGGACTGCCACTGGCAAACAAACACCGTCCCTGTTAACGAAAAGGAATAAGCTCAATTTTGTTGCTTAATGTGGATGAGCAAATTGAGGGGAATTCATACAAAATTAAATCCTATAGCAAAGCATGTTGATATATTACCTGGAAACAAGGGAATAATTTACTGCATAGCATAACCCTATCATTAAAATCCTTTCACTGGGGCCAGTGCTATGGTGTAACCAGTAAAGTCACCACCTGCAGTGCCAGCACAACATGTGGACGCCAGTTCGAGTCCCAGCTGCTCCACTTCCTATCCAGCTCCCTGCTAATGTGCCTGGGAAAACAGTGGAAGATGGCCCAGGTCCTTGGGCCCCTGCACCCACATAGGAGAACCAGAGGAAGCCCCAGGCTCCTGGCTTCAGATCAGCCCAGGTTCGGACATTGGGAAGTGAACCAGCAGATGGAATACCTTTCTTTCTGCCTCTGCCTCTTTGTAACTCTGCCTTTCAAATAAATAGAAAATCTTAAAAAGAAAATCCTTTTATTAGAATGAGGCTCATTTTATACGCAGTATATACATGTTCACATACAATTCAAAAATGTCCATTTATAAATTTTAAGGACAATTTCATTGCTTTTAAAACGCTTTTAAATGTAGATAGCCAATAAATACCATTGCACATAATGTACTAAGCACATGTGAATGAAGGGGGAAATATCAAAATTCACTGACTGTAATCTGTTGCTACTAGCTTCCTAGCGGATGCTTTGTATTTGTTAATTCAGTTAATTCAGCCCTCATAAAAACACCAGGAGGTTCTTATCATCTCCATTCCATTAACTTTGTCTTAAAAAAAAAAAGACTAGAAAATTAGAGCTTTGATATTTTCAAGTACTTTGTGAAAACATCACACACTGAGGTGGGCGTTTGGCCTAGTGGCTAAGACTCCAGTTGAGACACTGTGTCCCACATTAAGAGTGCCTGGGCTTGATTCCCAGCTCCAAATCCCAACTCCACTTTCCTGCCAACACAGACCCTGGAAGGTAGCAGGTGATGGTTCAATAGCTGAGTCTCTGTCACCCATGTGGTAGACTTGGATTGAGCTCTAGTACCTGGCCCTCAGCCCAGCCCAGGTCACTGCAAGAATCTGGAGACTAAATTAGAGGATGGGAACACTTTCCTTCTGCTGAGAGAAGGAGAGCGAGCAAGAATGTGTGAGAGAGCTACACATCAAAATTACAGAACTAAAACCTGTACCCAGAGTTTTTTCTAACTCCAATGCCCATGGTCTTTCTATTAGCTTTAATATCCCTTAGTGGACAGTTTGTAAAACCAACGTATAGTATAACCACACTGTCATTCCAGGAAAGAGGCATGTTGCCTTGTTAAAGAAAACTAAGTCTCCTAATTTGCTGTGTCCATCCTATTTTAGTACTAAGCTCCATAAGAGCATATAACAAATGTTAATGGCACATTCAGTGTCTCTAAAAGAGATGCACATGCAAGTGAAATGTATCAGAAAGATAACTTATAAAACAAAATCCTTTACTGTCGTCCTTTCCCCACAAAAGACAGAGCAAACAGAAAATGATACAGCTCTCCGGTCATTTGCAACAAAATGGAGGAATCTGGAAAACATGCTGAGTGAAATAAGCCAGTCCCAAAGGGACAAATATCATATGTTCTCCCTGATCAGTGACAACTAACTGAGCACCTAAAAGGAAACCTGTTGAAGTGAAATGGACACTATGAGAAACAATGTCTAATCAGCCCTTGTCCTGACTGTCGAGTAATAACTTACTATTTTATTCCTTTTAGTATTTTTTGTTCTACTTAATACTATTGATTGAACTCTATAATTAACACACAATTCTTCTTAGTCATTTAAATTTAAATGAAAAGTGATCCCTATTAAATATAAGAGTGGGAATAAGAAAGGGAAGATATGTACAGTTCGGCACATGCTCACTTGGACTTACCCCTAATGGTAGAGCTAGAAATGTGCCAGGGGATTTCAATTCAATCCCATCAAGATGGCATGTACCAATGCCATCTTACTTGTTAAAGTGATCATTTTAAGTTCATAATTGATAAAAAAGATAGGATTAAGTGTCAAAGGGATTACATAAATAAGACCAGTGTCTGCAAATAATAATTGATAGAATTAAAAAGGAGAGAATGATGCTTCATGGGAAGCAGGACACGCAGCAGACTCATAGAATGGCAAATGCCCTAAACAGTACTATGGCCTCAGAATCATCCCTTAAGGCATTCAGATCTGTCTAAAAAGCCCTTGAGAGTTTCACAGGCATGGAAAGCCAAGACACTGTGGCAAAACAAAAACAAAAACAAAAACAAACAAACAAACCTAAATGAAAGATCTCTATGAGTGGGATTCCAGTGGGAAGAACGGGCCATTAAAGAAGGAAGGTCCTTCCTCTGAAGGGAGGAGAAAACTTCCACTTTGACTATGGCCTTGTCTAAGTAAGATCAGAGCTGGTGAACTCAAGAGGCTTCCATAGCCTGGGCATCTCATGACAAGAGTCTCAGGTGATTACTGACATCATCCATAAGAATGTCAATTGTTAAATCAACAACGGGAGTCACTGCACCTGCCCTCCATGTAGGACCTCTTTCCTTAATGTGTTGTACTACTCAAATTAATGGTAAAACCACTACCCAAACAGTACTCTATACTTTGTGTGTCTTTGTGGGTACAGTCTGTTGAAATCTTTACTTAGTATTTACTAAGTTGATCTTCTGTATATAGAGATAATTGAAAATTAATCATGATGAAGAATGGGATGGGAGAGGGAGTGGGAGATGGGATGGTTGCAGGTGGGTGGGAGGTTATGGGGGGAAAAGCTGCTATAATTCAAAAGTTATACTTTGGAAATTTATATTTATTGAATAAAAGTTTAAAAAAAGAGAAAATGATACTGCTCAGAGTTATCTTATCTTCGAATACTTAACAGATAACTAAAGTAAGTCACGTTTGAACAGTCACTTCACTTAGAAAAATGATTACTTAAAACTGGAATATCTCCCCACAGTAGGATGGACAAACTGCCAGGATGCCTGATTATTAGAGTTACTGCAAGAGTTTACATACTGCTTCATCTTTTCTCTAGACCTGAAAATGTGTATTATACCAAGAGTGATTATCCTGTCTAGCAGAGTAGACCTTTGGCATGACTGGACTTAACACTTGAGAATCTGACCCTGGGCAATCTGAAGGCCAATGGTGTATAGTAAGCATTACTTCTGCACTATATGCTTTCTCTTTTTCAACTTTTAAAAATTTAAGGCAAACAAACTTCATGTAATACAATACACTTTCAATTGCAAAAGGATACAAGCTTCAGTGAAGAAGTTAACTGGGCTAATGGTGACCCAGATACCTGAGCCCTGCAACTCAATACAGCCATGTAATTTTCTTCTTATTCTACAGAGAACTGTTAAGACTATTCCTATTCTAAACACAGCTCTACTTGAAGCAAAAAAAAAAAAAAAAAATTGCTTTTGAAGATTAAGGTTATTTCATGGTTAATGTCATAAATGTTCCTATAATAATGATGCTCATAATAGCTTATTTTTGTGGCATCATTAATTTCAACAGTCTCATAAAATGCATTAAACAACATAGTACTTCCTGGGGAAAACATTGCGTTCTCATGGCATCTGTGTATCTGGAGGTTTAAAAAGATCTTGGGAATCTTCTCTAGGCTGGCAAGATCCTACAGCAATCCACCTTCTTAGGGCCATCTTTTTCTTCTCTTTTTCTTCCCCAGCATCAAATAAGAGCTTAAATGTGGCAGACCTTAATGGTAACTATTCTGAAGACCAAATTGTCCTATTTGACCAACTGGGGATTAAAATATGAAAACAAATATTTTTTCACTGAGCAGCAGAGGGTGTTAGAGCAACACTAAGACGTTGCTCAAGTGAAAATAAAAGACAAAAAAGGGCTGGTGTTGTAGCATAGCGGTTAAGCAGCTCCTTGTGACACCAGCATCCCATATGGGCATGGTTCAAGTCCTAGCTGTTCCACTTCCAATCCAGCTCCCTGCTAATTTGCTCGGGAAAGCAGCAGAAATGGCCCAAGTCCCTGGGCCCCTTCACCCACATGGGAGACCTGGAAGAAGCTCCTGGATCCTAGCTTTGGCCTGACCCAGCATCAGCTATTGTGGCCATTTGGGGAGTGAACCAGCAGATGGAAGATTTTTCTCTGTCTCTTTCTGTAACTCTGCCTTTCAAATAAAAAAAAAATCTTAAACAAAAAACAGGTTTTCTACACAAAAACTTACACCGATATTTTAGGTAAAACCAAGAAATAATGTATGCAAAATTAAATTGACATAATGCTTTCATTTTTTTATAAGAGCACAATTTCAAAGTTAATAGAAATTGTGAAAAAAATTTGAAACTCAAAGCCAATGAAACAGTGTCCTCCAACTGGTCTCCTTGGGGGAACTCAAACAATAATATACAATAATATTTATTGAAAATAATAAAAATAATAAAATCCTTAAACAGTCTGAGCTATTGTGGCCTTTTAGAGAATCAACTAGAAATGGAAGATCTCTCTCTCTTTCAAATGAAAAACAAATCTTTTTTTTTTTTTTTGACAGGCAGAGTTAGACAGTGAGAGAGATAGAAAAGGTCTTCTTTCCATTGGTTCACCCCCCAAATGGCTGCTATGGCCGGCGCGCTGCGCCAATCCAAAGCCAGAAGTCAGGCGTTTCCTCCCAGTCTCCCATGTGGGTGCAGGGCCCAAGCACTTAGGCCATCCTCTACTGCCTTCCCAGGCCACAGCAGAGAGCTGGACTGGAAGAAGAGCAACCAGGACAGAATCCGGTGCCCCGAGCGGGACTAGAACCCGGGGTGCCAGTGCCACAGGCGGAAAACAAATCTTTAGGCCGGCACTGCAGCTCACTAGGCTAATCCTCCGCCTGCTGAGAGAAAGGAAGACCTTTCTCTCTGTCTCTCTCTCTCACTGTCTAACTCTGTCAAAAAAAAAAAAAAAACCTTTAAAAAAATATTAGCAATGGCTTATTTCTGAAGATAGGTATTGATACATAGAAACTGATTTTTACTTTTCTCTCTAATTTTGTAAACACTTGACACTTTCCATAATAAAAAATCTGTTTTTTAAATAAGCAGAGACAAAATATTTATCATAGATTTATTAAGAATCCTCAAAGGTATAACCTAACAATTTTAACTGGTTATTCCTGCAAAGCAACCTTTAAAAATCACTTCCCAGAGCCACTTCAACATCAACCACAAGAGCAACACAGAAAACAATTTCATGCCCCTACAGAATAGTTTAGACAAAAATCACTGCACTTAATGGTATATAAGCAGGTATGAGTAATTGGGACATAACTTTGTGGTATTTGTGGCAGTGACAAAGAATCCAAAGCACTGAATCCCAATTTGGAAGAAAGTAAAAATTGGTGACAGACAGCTGTCAGGTGACCAGGAAAGACAGATGTCATGTGTCAGATGTCAAGAAAAGACAAACACAGATGGTGAAGCTGCATTCGAAAAGACTAAGAACAAGTGCTTCACGAAATGTAAGGACAAGGAATCAATGCTTACAGATAGATTATCCATCCCTATGATATATGACTTTAAGACCATCACTAAATTATAAGAATCAAATAAAAATTCTACAAGTGAAAATTTTACAACTAAAATTAGACAACACATTAGGATAGCTGAAAAACAGAATCTGCCAAAGTGGAAGGTAAAACCAAAGAAAATCACCAGAAAAATGAGACAAAGACAGCAAAAAGAACAATATGCGCAGCAAACAGTATAAAATATATGTGAGTCTTGGTAAAAAAAAAAAAAAAAAGTCTGACTTTGTAACTGGAGCCCTAAGGAAGAGAGAGACAGAGAACGTGGACAAAGCAGACACACTACTTGGCTATTTTTCCAAAACAAAACAACAAACAATGACACAGCCATGGAGCAGACTCAGGAGAATTATATACCCTAGGCTGAATAAATGCAAAGAAATCATACTAAGGTCTAGTAAAGGAAAATGGCTCAAAACTCAAGACATGACGATATCTCAAGAGGAAAACAGAAATCAGGAAACAATGAAATGGTACCTTCTAAGTAGTGAAATTTAGGATCCACCAACTATTACTTCTAAATAGACTGAAAGCATCCTTCAAAATGAAGGAAAAGAAAAAGAAAAAGAAATTATCAAGAGAATTTGCAGATCCCTTCATAAGGAGAGTTCTGCGGCAGGAAGAAAAATGTTGCCAGACAGAGGCACAGACATGTAAGAAGGGAGAAACAGCAGCAGCAAGAATTATAACACAGGTGACTCTAAGCAAGTAATTCTTGTATAAAATAAGTAATAATGACTTTCAGGCTTAAAATACAGAGAGAATTAAAATGTACAACAAAAACAGTGTGAAGGCATGAAAACACAATCATATAGTTAATTACTTCTCAAGGTTGACATAAGCAGTAATTTACATCAGATTTTGATAATCCACGAGTACATGTAATAAACACTAGGGACCACTAAAAGAACTCTGCAAGAATGTACAACTAATCAGCTAATAGAAAACAACAGGTCTAATCCATTAATATGATTATCAGTACCTCTGTGAGTGTGTATGCTTCCTCGGGAGTACACTCAGCCTTTGTTGTAGGATTACTTAATGCAAATATTACAGGTCTTTCATTGATCCTGGCCATGGCTTTGATTACATCAGGAGTAAAGAGTCGGCCAGCACCAGCAACCCCTGTAAGGGAGAAAAAAAGAGACAGCTGCGTCACAGATGTAACAAAGCAGCCCCTATCAACACTATTTCTGGCAAAAGGCTTACTGGGACAAAGCACAAGTACTCATTCTCTCATTAAAAAGACAGATTTTGCATTGCTGAGAATGCTATAGGAACACAATTTCAAATCTGAAAGAAATACTAAAAGTTTCCACCTAAGTGCATACTGCAAACTATACACGTAGTAAATTATGGGAAACAGAAAGGAGTACAGGATTCCCTCCATCACTTGGTCTAACTAAGATGAAACTTACTACAACAGAAATAAGCCTCAAGGACATTAAACTAAGTAAAATCAGCCAGTCACAAAGAGATACTGTCTGATTCCACTTACATTCCTACAGCAGTCATATGCAGAAACAAACAGCAGAATCATGGCTGCCCCAGGTGGGCAAATGGAAAATTGTTGTCTAATGGCTGTAAGATTTCATTTTCACACAGTCCTGGAGACTATGTGCTCAACACCATGAATGCACTGTAGTGTCCACTTAAAAACGTTTAAGCCAGCAAATTTTATGATATGTGTACTTTTTCATAATTAAAAAATTTTTAAGGGGCTGGCTCTGTGGCATACCAGGTTAAGCCACCATGCTGGCATCCCATATGGGAGCAAATTTGAGTTGTGGCTGCCCCACTTCCAATCAAGCTCCCTGCTAATGTACCTGGGAAAGCAACAGAAGACGGCCCAAGTGCTTGGTTCCCTGTACCCGCATGGAGGACCCAAAAGAAGCTCCGGGCTCGTGGCTTCAGCCTGGCATAGCCCCAGCTGTTGTGGCCATTTGGAGAGTGAACCAGCAGGATGGAAGCTCTCCCTCTGTAACTTTTTCAAATAAATAAAAAATAAATCTTAAAAAAAAATTTTAAATAAAATTTTCAGGTCCGGCACTGTGGCGTAGCAGGTAAAGCCACTGCTGTTGCTGCCAACTAGGGAGTGAACCAGCAGTTGGAACACCTCTCTCTCTGTCTCTCTGCCTCTCCTTCTCTTTGTGTAACTCTGACTTTCAAATAAATAAATCATTAAAAAATAAAAATAAAATTTGTATCTCAAATATTAAATTGCTAAACTCTGTGGTACTTATCACAAAATAATAAGAATTCAGCAGGCATAAAATACCATCTGGGCTACAGCAATATACCTTCTAGATACAGCTGTTTCATCTTTTATTAAACCTTACCATCTGGGTAGGCTGGTAAGCTCAATTGGTTACAAGGTGGTGCTAAACCTTACCATGTCCCAGACACTATATTAGACCATCGGAGCATAAAAATGAGTATACTACAGGCAGCTTAAAGCAAATAGAAAATAAGAAAATTGTAACAGGTACTAGGACAGAAGCACAACTTGGGGATACGAGGAGCTAGGCAGTGGTGCCTCAGCCGAGCACTCACTCAATCCACCCACTAAGAACGCTAACATTTAAAAACTACCCTTTTTGTTTCCTTGACCCTCTAACGGTGGGGAGACTCAATGGACAGATTCTTGGGTATCCATATACAATTTTCAGAGAAATAAACTACAGAGATTTAAGATCCCTTTGGTTGTGTTAGGAAAAAAAAAAAAAAGCCGTGAGTTCTATTGCAATGAGGAAGAGAATACAGATATACTTTTCCTGACCACAAGAACTTACTCTTTCTGACCATATTGTACTATTAAACAATTCAGTAGAGTTCCTGCATGCAACTGATAAAATTACAAGGATTGTAGATTCAAATCTCACAGGTATATAGTAAACCAAGCAGCTCCACTTTAAAGAATTTGACATTTTCTGCTGAGAACATCATGCCGTGTTGGCATAGTCTGATGTGGGCTGTACAATGTCTGCCTCAAACCCACAGAAAGTTTTCATCTTTGTTGCAAAGGAAAATCTTTGACTCTGCATAAGATTTTTCTGGTACAGTCTGTCAAATAACCTTTGGCTTCTTCAGGTTTGAGCCCAACAGTCAATTTATGAACTCTAAAAGCAAAACACAATTAGTTGCATAGCTTCTAGCACTTACAAGTATAAGCAACATCTATTAACGTTCACGCATGGAATCAAAAAGCTATCACAAAAAACATCACACATGCTGAAAGCTAAGTTAAATCCAACAGTTCATTTCTAATAATTACACATGATATTATGATTGGCAACATACAGTTATGTAATAGAATTATTTACTAACAACTTTACTTACCAATTATAGCTGATGGCTTAAGTATATTCACTGCATCTTCAAAAGTACCAGGCATGCTCTCTGGGGCTGAATGAGCAAATGGTTCCTGATGACTGTCTATTTCAGCTTCCCGCCCCTGCAGTTTTCAGTGAAACACAACACTTTGAGTAAATGCATACAGAGAATTAATTAAGTGAGAAGAAATTATTATGGGTGACATACTGATTCCATACAAGTGTCTTTCTAGGGGAGAACGTTTGGTGCAGAGGATAACATGCTGGCCGGCGCCAAATCTGGCACCAAATCTGGCCGGCACCACGGCTCAAAAAGCTAATCCTCCACCTGCGGCGCCAGCACACCGGGTTCTAGTCCTGGTCGGGGCGCCGGATTCTGACCTGGTTGCTCTTCTTCCAGTCTAGCTCTCTGCTGTGGCCCGGGAAGGCAGTAGAGGATGGCCTAAGTGCTTGGGCCCTGCACCCACATAGGAGACTGGGAGGAAACACCTGACTTCTGGCTTCGGATTGGCGCAGCGCACCAGCCATAGCAGCCATTTGGGGGGTGAACCAACGGTAAAGGAAGACCCCTCTATCTCTGTCTCTCTCTCACTGTCCACTCTGCCTGTCAAAAAAAAAAAAAAAAAAAAAAGCCCAAATCTTATATCATATGCCTAGGTTCAAATCTGGACTCTGCTCCTGATTCCAGCTTCTTACTAATGGACATTCTAGACGGCAGTAGTTGATGGCAGGGGGACCTGGATTGAGGTCCTGGCTTCTGGCTCGGCCTGGCTCAGCTCAAGCTATTGCAAGCATTTGGGTACTGAACTAGCAAATGAGATATTTATCTGTCTGTCACTCTACCTTTCAAATAATTAATTTTAACAAGCATAAATTCCATTATACCTAGAAACTTTGTATTTCTTCTCAAAAGTTCCTTCACTCTATGATAGTCATAATAAATCCCAGAAGGCACAAAGGCTTAAAATCCTTTAACTGGGCTAGAAGAGAGAGATACACACTCCAAAGCTGCAGATGAACAGGGATTATCACCATGCTGAGGAAACACAGGACAGCCATCAATAGTATATTCCTTCCAGACCTGACCAACCAATATGACAGTCACAAAACATCTCAGGAAAACTGACCCTGCACAAAGGGATCACATAAATAAGACCAAGTGTCTGCTAATAACAACTGATAGAATTAAAAGGAGAGAACAGGGGCCGGCGCCATAGCACAGTAGGTTAATCCTCCACCTGTGGCGCCAGCATCCCATATGGGTGCTGGTTCGAATCCCGGTTGCTCCACTTCCAATCCAGCTCTCTGCTATGGCCTGAGAGAGCAGTAGAAGATGGCCCAACTCCTTGGGCCCCTGCACCCACGTGGGAGACCCAGAAGAAGCGCTTGGCTCCTGGCTTCAGATCAGCGCAATTCCAGCCATTGCAGCCATTTGGAGAGTGAACCAACGGAAGACGACCTCTCTCTCTGTCTCTCTCGCTCACTGTCTATAACTCTACCTCTCAAATAAAAAAAAAAAATCTAAAAAAAATAAAAAAAAGGAGAGAACAATCCAACATGGGAAGCAGGACACACAGCAGACTCATAGAATGATAAATGCCCGAAACAGCACTCTGGCCTCAGAATCAGCCCTTAAGGCATTTGGATCTGGCTAAAAAGTCCATGAGAGCATTTCAGTCATGGAAAGCTAAGACACTGTGGCAAAAAAAATGACCTAAATGAAAGATCTCTGTGAGTGAGATCCCAGTGGAAAGAAGGGACCATCAAAGGAGGAGGTACATTTCTCTGAAGGGAGGAGAGAGCTCCCACTTTGATTATGGCCTTGTCTAAATAAGGTCGGAGTATGTGAACTCAAGAGGCTTCCATAGCCTTGGCAGCTCATGACAAGAGCCTCAGTGATCACTGACATCATCGATAAGAATGTCAATTGTTAAATCAACAACAGGAGTCACTGCACTTGCTCCCCATGTGGGACCTCTGTCCTTAAAGTGTTGAACTCTGAGAATTAACAGTAAAACTAGTCTTCAAACAGTACTTTATACTTAGTGTGAGTGCAAACTGTTGAAATCCTTACTTAGTATAGAGTTGATCTGTATGTAAAGATAATTAAAAATGAATCTTAATGAAGAATGGGATGGAGAGGGAGTAGGCCACGGGATGGTTTGGGGATGGAAGGGCGGTATGGGGGGAAGAACTGCTATAATCCAACAGTTGTACTTATGAAATTTGTATTTATTAAATAAAAGCTTTCTATAAAAAACCTGACTCTGCAAAAAGAATCACCAAACCAATGATGTATCAGCAAAAATACATATCCCTCCAAGAGCCTTCAAAAGATGTGCTGTCTAATAATTCTTACATTTTCTTTACTAGCAAATATGGTAGCTACAGTCCCCTAGGGGAGACAGCACAACTTAAGTGATTTGGGCTTCACTGCCAGGCCACAGGGTTGAATCTTATCTCCACCATCCACAAGCTGATGATTTTGGAAAAGTCTCCTGTCCTTTAGACACAGTCTCCTCATGTATCAAAATTCACAAGATTTTTGAGAGGATTAACGGAGATAATACATTTGAAGTCTTATTGCAATGGCTAGCGCATTTTAAACTACAGGTATTCTGAGTGTAATTAAAGCACTTCTTGAGATGTTTCATACACTAACTTCTTCATTTAGTTTTTTTGTACTAACAGAATACTGGTACTAATCAAGAAGAAAAAGATGGCACAACTGGAGCAATGTCCATTGAGACAGCTTGTTCCACAGATGAAGTGGCAAATACAGCTGTATCCTTCCCACATACACATAAAAACACATCAACATTATGAATGGGACAGGTTCCACTGTGAAGCACTTTACTCACCTTTCACTGTGTTACACAATGTAACATCTATGACTTTTTTTTTTTTTTTTTTGGACAGGCAGAGTGGACAGTGAAAGACAGAGAGAAAGGTCTTCCTTTGCCGTTGGTTCACCCTCCAATGGCCGCCATGGCCGGCGTGCTGCGGCCGGTGTGCTGCGGCCGGCGCACCGCGCTGATCCGATGGCAGGAGCCAGATACTTCTCCTGGTCTCCCATGGGGTACAGGGCCCAAGCACCTGGGCCATCCTCCACTACACTCCCTGGCCACAGCAGAGAGCTGGCCTGGAAGAGGGGCAACTGGGACAGAATCCGGCGCCCCGACTGGGACTAGAACCCGGTGTGCCGGCGCCACAAGGCGGAGGATTAGCCTAGTGAGCCGCAGTGCTGGCACGACATTCTTGAGCTAATAAAAACCATGATCAAAGAAGGCAGGCCTAAAGGGCACTAAGTCAATATGGGAGAAAAGCTCTGTATTATCCTAGAACTGGTTTCAGGAATACAGGATTTTTTTAAGGCAAAGGGGTCCACAGATTTTTATGAGATGGCTACAGGGGATTATGATCGCCAAAGAGTTTAGGAATTTCTCCTCAAATATCAGATTACTGCTTATCATTTAATTAGGATATTCCAAGTTCCCATTAAAAACCTAGGTTTAGGCCGGCGCTGCGGCTCACTAGGCTAATCCTCCACCTGCGTCGCCGGTACTCCGGGTTCTAGTCCTGGTTGGGGTGCCAGTTCTGTCCCGGTTGCTCCTCTTCCAGTCCAGCTCTCTGCTGTGGCCTGGAAGGCCCAAGTGCTTGGGCCCTGCACCCACATAGGAGACCAGGAGGAAGCACCTGGCTCCTGGCTTCGGATCAGCGCAGCGCACCAGCCATAGTGGCCATTTGGGGGGTGAACCAACAGAAGGAAGACCTTTCTCTCTGTCTCTCTCTCTCTCATTGTCTAACTCTGTCAAAAACAAACAAGCAAAAAAAAACACCTAGGTTTAAAAGGGTCAAATCCTTACACAATCACACACAATCATACTTGGACAATGGGTATTTGATCTCTTAAGAGCCAGAGAACAAATAAGGAGTCTGGAGTCAACACAGAGACAGTTGACTGAAGCATGAGGCAAGTCTTTAAAAGAGGCAAGAGTGGGAATCTGCTGAGATTTAAGATTCTTTTTGCTGTTAAAAAATAAACAAAAAAACCATGAGTTCTAAGCAACAAGGAAGAGAATACAGATACACTTTTCCTGACCACAAGAACTACTTGAGATGCTTCATCTAATACACTAATTTCTTCATTCCATCTTTTTGGTACTAATAGAATACTGGTACTAACTAACAAGAAAAAGATGGCACGGGCTTGGCGCTGTGGCACAGTGAGTTAAAGCCCTGGCCTGAAGCGCTGGCATCCCATATGGGCACCAGTTCTAGTCCCAGCTGCTCCTCTTCCCATCCAGCTCTCTGCTATGGCCTGGGAAAGCAGTAGAAGATGGCCCAACTCCTTGGGCCCCTGCACCCATGTGGGAGACCCGGAAGAAGCACCTAGCTCATGGCTCCTGATCAGTGCAGCTCCAGCTGTTGTACCCATCTGGGGAGTGAATCATCAGATGGAAGACCTCTCTCTCTCTGTCTCTCCTCTCTCTGTAACTCTTTCAAATAAATAAAATAAATCTTAAAAAAAAAAAAAAAAAAGATGGCACAACTGAAGCAATGTCCACTGAGACAGCGTGCTCCACAGATGAAAATGGCAAATTACTGCTGTATCATTTCCATAGCAGAAGGCCACTGGTACAACTGGATAGTCCAGTGAGACAAGATTAAGAAATGCTAAGATTTTAAAAAATCTAACTAAAAATAAACCAGTAAAAACCACACCACTGGGCCAGCATGGCACAGAGGATTAAGCTGCCACCTGCTATGGCAGAATCCCATTTGAGAGAGGGTTCAAGTTCCAGCTGTTCCATTTCCAGTGCAGCTCCCTGATAATGTGCCTGGGAAAGAAGCAGAAGGTGGTCTGAGAGTTTAGGCCCTTGCCACCACATGGGAGACCTACATGGAGCTCTGGACGCCTGGCTTTGGCCTGGCCTAGTCCTGGCTATTGTGGCCCTTTGGGAAGTGAACCAGTGGATAGAAGCTCTCTCCTCCTCTGTTTCTATCTCTCTGTCTTTCAAATAGATAAATAAATAAATCTTTAAAAAAAAAAACCACATACACTGCTCTTCTGCTTCTCCAGGTTTTAAACACTTACCTTAACTAATAAACCATATTTGTCAAACATCCAGATTTTCTTTTGTGCTTCTTCTTCTGAGAGGCCATTTTCTACCATAGACATAACTATAAGATTTGCAATTCCAAGAGCAGCCTGTCCAACAAAACAGAAATTCAGAAAGTAAAGACTACAGAATGATGCAATGCTTAAATTTCTTTATACATGAAGATTATCTTACAAAGAATATTTGGTTTATTCTTCCCTTAAAAACCACACAAAAGTTAATCCTTTGTGATATTCTCTCTAAAATTTAAATTAACTATTTTATAATAGAGATTTCAAATTCATTTTCTATTTTAACAAAATTATAACTTCATCATGTTCTTTGAAAACAGCATGAACATGTCCAATTTTCCAGTTCTAAATAGGATTAGTGTTGGTTTTAAACTTAAAAGCTTACAAAAACTTACCTCTCCTGCACCAAGAAATAAGATTTTGTGTTCTGAGATGGGTTTACTGATCACTTTTTGTGCTGCAAGAAGACCTGCTAAAGCTACTGCAGCTGTTCCTGTAATAAAAATTAAGAATTAAATAAAAAGGACATGTTTTTAAGAAGTAGGAATCAAAAATATTTTTTAAAAGTCTGCTTTTTGCTTTACCTTGAATATCATCATTAAAAGTACAATATTTTTCTCGGTATTTCCTCAAAAACCTGAATGCATTATGATTCCCAAAGTCTTCAAATTGAATAAGTGTGTTCCGGCCATATCTAAAAACAGCAAAATACATAATGCTTGTGTTGAAAATACAACTACTAAACAGCTTTCCTGTCTACTATCCCATATGTTAGCATTTAAAAATAATGTATTATGGTACGTCAATTAAGGCCATGTGGACATTTTCAGTCAGTGAAAGATTAGACCCAAAATGTTGAAATCTATTAGACATGATTAAAAAAAAAAGTACTGGTGCTTAAGTACCATGCAGTGCCATGACGGGTCCAGGGGCTATCGATTTTTGTTAGCATTTCCAAGAGCCCAGGAGGGATACTCAGCATACTTAAGTTCTAAATAACTTCCTAAACAGAAGAGACTCTTTTTAATCTCTTAATCTCAAAAAGTATGTATTTGGCATGCATAGTCTTATTACATCAATAGCTAAACAGCATCAAAGGAAAGTATATATGAAACAGTTCAGAAAATAACTATATTCCGATATTGGTGACATCGATCATCTGGGTGAGCAGTGATAATGAGGCAAGGCCTGAAAAGGAGGCAAGGCCTAAGTTGGTCCCTAAAAGAAGAACAGAAAATAAAGAGGTAGAAAGAAAGCAAGGTATTCTTTGGTGACCCTGAATTTTCAATAGTCGTGGCTATATGCTGCAGTTTACAAATGGTCTTCAAAAAGTCCAAGGAAAATGCACGTTACAGATTTTTAGAAAATTTTTTGCACTAAGATAAACATCTTTTAATTCAATTTTCCATAGCTTTGGGAAGTATGTTTGTATACTAAAGGATAAGACATAAGTTGGTTGGGGCCAGATACAGGAGAATCCTGAATGTCAAATCAGAGACAGAGACATTTTTGTGCATCCCACATAGAATTGCTGGACGTTGCAGAGGAGGGGAGAATCCACATGAAGACCTTAAGGAAAAAAAACCTACCAGTGAGGGATGGCACAGGTAGGTGTGGAGTGAGACAAGAAAGACAAGAGAAGCAGCTAGGAGGCCACAGGGTGGTCAGGATAAGGGGTCTGAGGCAGAACGCACAGAGACAACTAAACGACAGGGATAACTATAAGACATCAGAAGCAAAAACCGGTGTTGATGATAAGGACCAACCTGGAAGCAAGGGAGAGGCTGCTCACTGGCAAGGCAGCCTGGATGACCGTGTAGGTACTATTTGGTTGTCCTAGGTAGGAAAATGAGGAAAGAAAGGGAGATGACAATTTCTGGGAAGCTGAAAGGTTCAGCTTTAGGTATGTCAACTTTGACTCTGAAAAAGAGTGAGTTTTTGAGTAGCTTCTATGCACCAATAATTTAAAAGGCGGACCTTGGAGAGATGACAAAGGCAAAAAAAAGTTCCTATGGCAAGAGCAAACCACTGACAACATGAAGTGCACAATGAATTTGGTGTAAACATGAGGATGAACTGGAGAGAAGAGAAACTGGAGACGAGACAGCAAGGCTGTGGCAGTGGAAAAGAGATGCAATCTGAGGCACCGAAATGATTCTACCAACTGGGGTTGAACAATATCCAAGTGCATGAGGGTGCATGGTTCAGGAGGAAGGCTGAGAGAATATCAAGATCAAAAGTTTGGCAATAGGGCAGATGCTAACAGAGGTTGGGAATATAGCAGAACGGCTGCTTAGAGAAGGGAGAAATTAAGTTTGGGACACTAATATGAGTAGCAACCGAATGTCTCAATGGCAGATGACAGTGATTAGAAATGCACCCCTCAGAAACGCAGATGGCCTACAGGGATGGGTTTTCCACAGATTTAAGAGTCACGTGCATAAAGGTCATGGCTTATATGGCTCACGGAGAAGAGGACTGCACAGAAATCCACATCCAGTAAGACACAGCAAGAAGAAGCGGTGAAAATCACAAAGAAAGCTGGAAAAAAGACCAATTTAGGGACGTCTTCTAGCAATTGAGAGAAGAATGCTTCAAGAACTAAGGGTGGGAAGACCTGGTCAGATGCTGCCAGGAGGGTGAGAGGGAGAGCACCAACGGCCAGAGAACTGAAAACAAAAGCCGTACGCGAGCCTCAGTGGCATGGCAGGAGTGAGCTCGGATGCTAAGGACTAAAAGGACGTCTGAGAAGTGAGTGCACGCTTCCCTCAAGACGTCAGGAAACTCAGGAAGCAAAGCATATCTCATCGGCAAGAAAGAATCAAAGCTCCCCCAATTTAATCTGCTTATCTTCACAAGAGATACAGGAAAACAGAACTACCATTCCTCTCCTACCCCCAATTAAAGGTGCTTTCATACACTCCAACTGTATTGAAATACCTGTCAGTAATAGCTTTCATAAACTCATCAATCAGTTCATCATAAAGTTGTGAACGGTCTCTCTTCTGATACAAGCCCATGTAAAATGGATCTTTTAGGAGTGCCTACAAAAGAAGTCAAATGGAAAAATCAAAACCATTGATTACATAACCAGCTTAGACATAAATTACAAAATAGAAATATCACTAATAAAATTTTTAAACCATATTGTTCTAGTTCAAGAACCTTTTTTTGAAAATATTTTATTTATTTATTTGAGAGCTAGACAGTGAGAAGGAAAGACAGAATCTGCTGGTTAACTCCAAAAATGACCACACAGCCATAGCAGAGAGCTGGATTGGAAGAGGAGCAGCTGGGACTAGAACTGGCGCCCATATGGGATGCCGGCGCCACAAGCAAGGGATTAACCTACTGCACCACAGTGCTGGTCCCTCAAGAAACTTTTAATAGGCTTAATGTACTATTGTCTGTATAAATAGTAAAAGTGAGGTTTAAGAAAAAAAGCATCTAATCACAAAATTCTCCTTAAATTATGTGTTCAAAAGAGGAATAATAAAATTTCAAATAAGAAGATCAAAGGGGAAAATGGGTTTACTCACTATATTATCAGTTCCCACGTCAATACACACAGGCAGGCACCTATCTGGCCGTATTCCTGCACAGGCTGTGTACAAACAAAGTTTTCCTACTGGAATTCCCATTCCATAGACACCCAGGTCTCCAAGACCCAGAATTCTCTCTCCATCTGTCACCACAACAGCCTTAATTACAAAAACAAAAATAAGAGAAAATCAAATTAGAAGTTGCCAAAAATGGGGCCCTAAAGAAAAGCATTTTTAAAAGATGGATTATCGTCACATAGTTTCACTCTCATTTTTAAAAATAAAATTGTTTCTTGGCTCACTTCCAATGAAAACCAACCAAGTGAACTTAAGACTCTAACAGTTCTGCCTATTATGAGATATTAACAAGAGAATTAATTAGATTCGGTTTAGGATTAGAACGCTTCTGACTGAAGGGCCAACTTATTTCCAGAAAAACAATTTAAGGGAGAAGTGAACAGAATTCTGATGAACAGCTTGCCCTGGAGAAAATACAAGTTTGCAAAGAAACAGCATGCTACTCCACCTTAATAACCTAGGCCCAACAGGAAAAGCCTTAGCTAGAGTAGAAGAGAAAAAGATCTAGAATAAAAACACATACCAACCTAATACCATATAAGATGAAACTGGGAGCTTAATTGTCTAATCACATTTTTCCAGATTATTCAAAGTGGTTATTCACCAATGTCTACTTTGGTAAGGAAGACATATGTAATAAAAGCAACTAAGATTGTTGCCTGTAGTAAAAAAAAATTCTACTGAATATCTGCAAATAAGTTATGACGGTTTATTTAAGAAAGACAACCAGATTGAACAAGATTTATATTTGCTAAATTTGGTAAGCACCTAAATTAATCTTAGATTTAAAAGAAAGGCATAACCAATCCTCTCCACCACCATCTATAATAAGGTTTTGTGGCACTCTTGTGCATTTCTTCTACCCTAGAATAACAACAGTGAAATCGAAAAGGAATGTGGAGAAGGCAGGAGACACCAGTGGTGTGAACAGTGAGAAAGTTCACCTTGTGCTCTAGCTCCAATTTCTTACTCAGAGCCAAGCTCTATATCAGTAACTTATTTAATAACTATTATTATTATCATCATCTCAGATACAAAGCACTAAATCTGCATGTACATTAGTGCAAATAAACCAGAGCAACAATGGGAAATCATTCTGGAGGATTCAGAAGTAACTTACATGGAAACAGAAAGCATTAGGCAAAGGAGGGTTGTGCTATGAGTACCTTAACATGATTTTCTGGCCAGTTATCCACAATTGATCTAACATGACCTCTGTCTGAGATTGAAATAAACAATCCCCTGCAACAGAACAAAAACACTTTTGCATTTCACAACAGTTTTGTGTTTGTTTCTAAGTTTTGTTCATAACTGGAATATTTAGATATGTTAATAAAACATTAAGACACAGTATAATTTCCAAGTAGATTTTTGATAGGCCACACTGGTTTATTTTTAATCATTTTCAGTGACTTCAAATTGTAATTATATTGTTCACCCAGCTGCTGCAATGAAGGCAACTGTTAAATGATACGATCATCTTACCCAAGAAAACATCTACATTTCCTGTTCAAATAAACCAACATACCTCTGGCAGAAACCAATGTAAAGACAAACCACCAACACTAAAGGACATAACAAAGCCAAGTAGACCACTGTTAAACCCTTTGCAACAGAAAATGGGAAATTTGAAATAGCAAGGAGCAAGAAAATTACAATGAAATTACATAAAAGATGATACACTTGAAGCATCAGAAAAAAATGAAGTTATTTTTAATCAATAAAAACTGAACGTATTTGTCACACAATATATTGTTTTGAAGTATGTTTACACTGTGGAATGGTTAATGAAAAGTGATTTTAAACATGGTATATTGTTATCTAATTAAGACAGTCAATCCAAATTTCATAAAAAAAGGAAGCAAAGGGAGGAAAAGGCATAGAGGAAAAAGGAAAATCTAGATTCTAGAAAACAGGTCAAACAGAAATGGTCCCCACTGCCCTTCTACTGATTCTTAATTTTCTCACTGATATCTTCATTTAAGCATTATTATTACAGTCAATTAAGTTTAGTTCAGCCATTTCTCAACCAATACAAATTCATTAAAGTGAGTTTTTTAAAATGCTGGTGTCCTACCACCAGAGATCATGATTTAATTGGCTTAGAGTTTAGATCAACCAACCGAGATTTACTGACCACAGTTTGTGTGAAAAACGAAATAAACAAGAAAGCACTGCATAAACGATACACAGGACCACCCAAAAGCCATGCTCTTCACGCCTTATGTCATCTCCCAGGCACATCAGAATCCCATCAGGGGCTTTCAGGAAATATCTACAACTGGGATCAAGCCTAGAGACACTGAAGCAGAGTGGGGCCCCGTTAGCAGCAGTTTTAGTTGGCCCGTATCATCTGGATGGAGAAGCCCTGTCCCAGCAAGGCAGGACAGACCAGCTGAACAGCTGGAGCCTATCACAGAACCATTCCAGATGCAGCCTACAGGCTAGAACAGCGGTGTTTCTCAGTGTCTTCCAGGGAGTATCTATTTGCAACACAATCACTGAGGTTATCCACTAAAATCTGGACCTCTAGGCCTTTTGCCTTTTCTTCAGAATCTTGGAGATGGAAAAGACAGGAAAGCTGGCATACATCGACATTTTAAATAAGCCCCACAGGTGTTTCGTGCGCACAGTGAAGTCTGAGAGCCACTGGAATACTTAAGGGGAGACTGAAGATAAATGCTACCAGACCTTGTTTAAATTAATACATCTGTATCAGCTTGATAGCTAAGCATGGGAAAAACACAAGGATTGAGGAAACTGTTACAAGTTTAAAAAAACAAGAAAATGCAAATTAAGAAAAAATAGTATTTATATAATGCAAGGAAGTTTAGAAAGAAGCCATCATGGGGCAGGTGTCTGGCCTAGCAGTTAAGATGCCACATCCCATATCAGAGCACCTGGGTTCAATACCCAGCTGCGCTCCTGACCAGCTTCCTGCTGATGCAGACCCTGAGATCCTGTCATCCACACAGTGACCGGGACTGAGCTCCTAACTCCAGCTGCAGCCCCAGCCAGGGGTCACTGTGCACATCTGGGGAGTGAACCGGGGAGCGGAGCTGGCTCTCTCCTGTCAGTTTCTCCTCCACAGCTTGGTGACAGACACTGCTATCTGTACTCAACACACAACACGTCTGGAGGGATGCTCCTTTCCAGTACTCTTCCCACTTAAAACACCTGGAGATGTACAACTATTTAAAGTTAAAATTCAGGGAAAGCTTACTAAACAGAAATTAATGCTGACAAAAAAATGAGAATGAACCAACTCCTTACTTTGGCAAAATGGTCAAATATTTTAATGAAAATTCTAGAGAATCTGTTACCAGAATAAAGACTTTTATTTTTTGATACAAACAGCATACAATATTCTTCTAATAACTGAATAATTTAAAGAAGGTTAGGAATGAATGCTGCTATTTTTATATAAACAAATGATAATATGAGATTTTTATTAATCCTTTCTAATTCAAATTAAGCTTGAAATGTGAAATGTGATTGTAGTAAGACTTCCAGCCACAAATTAGGAACAAAATAGGTGTTATGGAGGCTTTCTCTTACACAGTAATCATTTATATGTATGCTTTTAAAATATAAGCCTTACTTAGGTCTCCTAAAGATGTGTCCATACTGAGAGCAGGCAAGACCAACCGTTGGTGTGTATACAATTGGCATGAGACTTTCAATATCATCTTGCAATATCCTGTAAAACAATTTCTCATTTCTTTCTTGTATCCCCATTATATAGATGTATCTGAAATAAAGCACAAGATACAGCCTTTACATTACAATATTACATTAAAGGTTTTGGTGTCTAAAATTGAGCTCCACCTCCACCCCCAAGAAATTAAAATCTCTAAATTATTACTACTTAACAGCTGGGATTAAAACCCAACAGAAATACAAATGTACTTAAATGGTAGACGATGATGAAACAGTAGGAACAGCAGCCAGCCGCTGCAGTTTGCTGTGAGTCAGGCTCTGTAAAAGGCACGGGCAACGCAAAGGTTTCCGTGAGCCCCTCACCCTAAGAAAGCAATCTACACAGAAACTGACAGGTGGGTGAAAAAGCAGAATAAAGTAGCACTTATTCATATGTTGACTGAGTATTAGCCATGTGCCAGGCACTACTCTGAACCCTAGGACTGCAAGAAGCGATCCTTATCCTTCAGGAGTTCAAGGTCCGGTAGGGATAAAAGCAGTGAAGTCTGCCAAGAGCACAGAGGCAGCACAAAGGAGGCAACAGCCAATTCACGCAAATAAAAACAAAAGCAAAATATTTTAAAGAATCAAGGTTAGGGACAGGCATTTGGCCTGGAGGTACAGACACCAGAGGGGATGCCCGCTTCCCACTTCAAGTGCTTGACTCAGCTTCCTGCTGGTGCAGTCCCATGCATGTACCAGTGATGGCTCAGGGATTGTTGCCACCCATGTGGGAGACCTGGATTCAAGTCTTGGTCTAGCGCCAGCTGTTGTGGGCATTTGGGGAGTGACCAGCAGATGGGAGCTCTGTCTCTCAAGTAAATAATTTTAAAAAACAAATGAAGTTTAAAGAATAAACACTGGCTTAGAAACCAGAAATCACCCAGAAGTAAATACGTCTAAAACAGACTCATTTTCTTTCCCCAAACTTGTTTCTTCTCCTATCTGACCAAACGGGAAACCCAGAGTCCATTTTTGAATTCTTCCTTCTCTACTTCCCTCACCCCAGTCTAATAAAACACCAAGTCCTACAGAGTTTACATGCTGTCTCTCCAATCTATGCATTTCGCCCCCACCCTCACCCAGCCCAAGCCCATCATTTCTCAGAGACTCGTGACCTCCAGAGCCTTCTCCCTGTTCTTTACACACACAACTTTCCTTCCTGGCATCAGTGCTTTCTTCTCGCAAAAACCTGTGATCATTTCTACTCTCCTTAAATTTTACTGGCTTCCAAATGCCAGTAAAGTAATGTGCAAACTCCTAAAATAGTTAACGAGACTTCTGCCTCCTTTCCAGCCCCCTCTCCTCCACGATGACCTACTTCACGTCTTCAAAGGCAGCTTGACTCTCACCTTGGAGTTGTACATTCGATGCACCCTTTGCCTGGTCACACAGTCGGAGACTCATGCTCTCCACACACAGTTCAGGGGGAGTGTGCTTTCTGCACACTGCCCTCCTCCAGAGACACAGGTTAGGTGTCCTACTCCTCCTGGCCCAACTTTCCCTCCTCTCCTCTTGACTTTCGGGTTTCTCTCCAGCCTAGACAATACCATGAGACTGGGACCATCACCTCACACACTTCTGTATTTCCAGGAGCTAGCGGAGGATGTGGTATACAGTTATATGCAAACATTTGGTGTATAAATAAGAAGCGATCCATTCAGAGGAGGAACTGAAATTCCTACATAGCTACTCAAGGCAGAAATGGGGTCAACAGGTAGACATGAAGGGGAAACAGATTTTTCCTCAGTATAGGGAAACAAAGAACAACTGAACTAGTAAGATGGAAGAGGCAGCTTTGAAAAAGAGACAGCAGGAATGTTCGGAACCAACGACACCTCCCAGGCATTGGGCCAACGCAAGCTGTGTGCCCCCTGACCCTCCTTGATGTTCTACTCGAGTCACTTTTCTGCCTACCACACAGTGACCTTGTCCTCACCCAGGACTGTGACAGCTCAGAGCTGGTGCACTCACCTTGACCCCCTTTCCCACCCAGCCTGCAACACGTTGGTCTCTTTCTCACTCTGCCTGTTCCTACAACATACTGTTTAAAATGCAGCTAGAGATCGCTTACTCCAGGAAGCTTTTCCTGATGCCCACAGCTGGGCGAGGTGCCTCTTTATGCTTTCAGAAAACATAGCCAACACGTGTCATTTTCTCACCGCAGTGCAGAGGACAGTGCCGTCACAGGGACGATCCGCCTCCCAGAAGCAGGGCTGGGCCTCACTGCGCTGGCCACACATCCTGATCTGTCAGTGACAGTCCTGATGACACCTCTTTTACATGCTACAGGTCCTGATCTATTACCTCCCTTGTCCCCTCAGTGGCTAGGACAGTGCCATGCAAAGTGGGTGACCAGGGAAAGTAGCTGGATATGATGGGTGCAAATTAGACAGTATCCTCTATGCTTTATTCACACCTGAAATACTCCCCTTTTAAGTATGAAAGCTGATTTCTGCTCAAATTTATTAATAAGGAACATGAGGGAATTATTCACTGAAGTGAAGGAAATACAATCATCATGAAGCAGTTAACTGACAAAACACAAACTTCATTATGAGGCTGCATATTTAAAGTCGTGATGTTCCCAATTTCATAATCTGAACATCAATAAAGAATGAACATCTAATCGACTCTTACTTTTCCAAAGGGCTACTCATTTTCTTCAAGTTTCGATGGAATCGTAAGGCTTGAATATCTTGTGTCTCTATCTTGGGAGGTAGAAGTCCTTGCAGACCAAGCATCTGTCGTTCCTGTAATGTAAAGGCCATGCCCTAGAAAGCAGAAAGAAAAGCATTAAACATTATCACTTAACTGAGGTAGCACTGGCACTGCCCTTCAAAATGCAACTTAAATGCAAACTTTAAAAATCAATGAGAGGGGCTGGTGCTGTGGTGTAGCAGGTAAAGCCACCACCTGCAGTGCCAGCTTCCCACACAGGCACCAGTTCACGTCCTGGCTGCTCCACTTCCCATCCAGCTCTCTGCTATGGCCTGGGAAAGCAGCAGAAGATGGTACAAGTCCTTGAGCCCCTGCACCAATGTGGGAGACCAGGAAGAAACTCCTGGCTCCCAGCTTCAGATCAACCCAGCTCCAGTCACTGCAGGCATCTGGGGAGTGAACCAGTAGATAGAAGACCTCTTTCTCTTTCTCTTTCTCTCTCTCTCTCTCTCTCTCTCGCTCTCTCTCTCTCTCTCCCCCTACCTCTGCCTCTCTGTAACTCTGACTTTCAAATAAATAAATAAATAAAGTAATTAATTAAAAAAATTGGGTGCTGGTTCATGTCCCGGCTGCTCCACTTTTGATCCAGCTCTCTGCTATGGCCTGGGAAAGCAGTAGAAGATGGCCCAAGTCCTCTGGCCCCTGCACCTGTATGGGAAACCCAAAAGAAGCTCCTGGCTCCTGGATTTGGATTGGCGCAGCTCTGGCCATTGCAGCCAATTGGGGAGTGAATCAGTGGATGGAAGACCTCTCTCTCTGCTTCTGCATAATTCTGCCTTTCAAATAAATGAAAATCTAAAAAAAATAAATTAAAATCAGTGAGATATGACCTTTGTCCAGACTTTTGTAATTTTCTAAGACTGATAATGTGCAGACTTGGTGAGTGTTTGGAAAAAGAGTTACTCTGACACCATTGCTGGGAAAGTAAACTAGTTTAGGTTTTTAGAAGACAATTTTAAATTTTAAAGTACTTTAAAAGTTTTTCAACACATTTTTAAAAGTACATTTGTTTATTTATTTGAAAGTCAGAGTTACGAGGCTGGAGGTTGGGGTGAGTATGGGGAGACATCTTCCATCTGCTGGTTCACTCCTCAGATGTTTGCAATGGCCAGTCAGGCCAAGACCAGGAGCTTCGTCCAGGTCTGCCACATGGGTGGCAGAGGCCCAAACACTCGGGCTGCTTTTCCCAGGCCATTAGCAGGGAACTGGATTGGAAGTGGAGCAGCAGGGACACAAATCGGGGCTTATACGGGATGCCAGAGTTGCACGTGGCAGCTTTACCCGCTACACCACAATGCTGTCCCTGATGCATATGTTCTTGAGTCAGGTAACCTGACTTGCAGACAGCCATCAGTGAGAAACATTCACACATGGAATAAGGAGTAACAGACACAGAGCTTCTTTACAGCACTACTTCTAGGACTCTTGGCTGCTACAAACTAGAAGTCTAGCAATTTGTGAGTAAGGATCCCTATGGTATATTTCTATATCTTAAATACCACAGAAATAGTTACACACACACACACACCCCTTTAAGTATGTACGATAGCAGGAAGATTTCTAAGACACATAGTTAAATAAAAAAAAGCAAGTTACAAATCAAAGCATACTCACTGTTAATCCACTTATATTTAGAAAACTCTCATAGAAACTAAATATTAGATATAAATGTCTGCACACATTATAAATGAGATCAACAGAATACAGTTCAAAGGAATGTGAACTAACCCATAACAGAGGCTACCCTCACTCTGAAGGGACTGGGGCTGAATGAGAAAAAGGGAAAAGAGAAATGACATTTAAAAGATTAATCAGAGCAGGTGTCTGGCCTAGTTGTTAAAGCACCAGTTGTGAAGCCCAAATCCTGTATCAGAGTCTTGGGTTTGAGACCTGCCTTTACTCACAATTTCTGATTCCTGCTAAGACACCTGGGAAGTAAGTGGCACGTCAGTATTTGGGTCCCTGCCATCCATGTAGGAGAGCTGGAATGAGCTCCAGATTCTCAACTTTGGCCTGGCCCAGCCCTGGATACCACTAGCATTTGTGGAGTGAAACAGCAAATGAGGGCCCTCCTTCTCTCAATTCACTATAATTAATTAATATTTCATAAAATCTCCATTTTCTGATATCCAGCTAAGTCAAATTCTTTGTATAAAAGTCAGCAAAAATGTTGAAAGATGTTGAGCTTCCAATTTTTTTTTCCTCCATGAAAGCAAGAACACTAACCAAACATCAGAATAAATTTTTTTTGAATTTTGGAAATTAATCAAAGGCTTAGAGCAATCAAGGAGAAATTACTCAAAGAAAACACCTGGATTTCAGTCAGCAGCAAGCTTCATAGTATTTTAACTCACACTATTCCCAGAGTTTGAAATTACCATGAAAACCGGCAGCATGGAAGGGACTGGAAGGGTGGCTGAGCCTTCTGAAACCCCTTTCTCAGGGAAATTTCACGAATCCACCTGTTCTGGGTTCTCGGAAAGACCCCACTTATAATGCTATTTTATTTGATCTGGCTTGGAGCTCACCCAGTGTTAATAGTCTTCCACCCAGAAAAGCTTGTTGGAAACAGCTCAGAGGCAATTATGTAGCATGGCAGCTGCCTGAAGCCGTGGATTAACAGTTGAGGCAAACAACAGGCTAACCAAAAGGAAAAGGAAAAGCTAATGAATGAGATGTCTGAGGGTGGAAAAGCTCCAAGGCACCCTCGGGAGTCTGGGAGGCTACATCCACGGGCTGTGGGCACGTCCAGGAAAGGAGTGAGAAGGCATTAAGCTCCTCCCCCCGGCTAACCTTGAGGCTCTGACAAGCAAGGCTGACAGGATTGTAAACTGTCCAGCAGAACGCTGGAGGTGTGCCCAGCATGCCTACAGAGCCTCTTGGCAGAGAAGGACGCTTACTGGTTCCAGGTACTTACATTTCTGTTTATTCATGGCTAGCCAGTAAATTGAACAAGAAGAGACTTCAGTGGGCATATTGAACAATACAGACTTTTGTTCCAAGAGTTGTTTTTTTGAAAAGAAGATGACAGAGAGGAAAGTAACAGAGTGGGAGAAAGATCTTCCATCTGCTGGTTCACTCCCCTAATGTCTGCCACAGCACGAGTTGTGCCCGGCTGAAGACAGGGCCCAGGAATTCCATCCAGGTTTCCTACATGGAACTGAAGTACTGGGCATCACCTGTGGTCTCCCAGGTGTATTAGCAGGAAGCTGGACTAGAAGTGCAGAATAGCTAGAACACGAACTAGGCACTCTTCTGTGGGTTGTGGGTGTCCCAAGAGGCAGCTTCACCTGCAGAGCCTCAGTGCCCACCCTGAGAATACAGGCTCTGAATAATTAGTTCAGAGATTTCACTAAGCAAGCAGCAGCAGCAGTAATATACCCCTAGGAGGACTATTTAATGTCTAGAGCTACTGTATTGTTGTGTTTATTTTTAAAATTATTATTTACCTATTTTCAGTTATTTGAAAGGCAGAGACTCTGAGAAAGAAGACAGAGATTCAATGTCTGCTGGTTTACCTCCCAAAAGTCTCCAACTGCTAGGCTGAGCCAGGCTGAAGTCAGGAACACAGAACTCAATGCAAGTTTCCTGTGTGTGTGGCAGAGGCCCAAGCACTTGAACAATCACCTACTGCTTGCAAGGGTGCACATTAGCAGGAAGCTGGACTCGAAAGTAGAGCTAGGAGTCAAATCCAGGTGTTGCACACACTGACATGACCACTGTGCCAAATGCTTGCATTTACATTCTAAATGAGCAGTTTTCAACAAAAACTTAAGAGACACATAGATAAATGAAGTCTGGCCCATACCCAGGAAAAAAGGCAGTTAACAGAAACTGTCCCTGAGGAAACCCAGACACTGTACTTACTAAACAAAGACTTTAAATCAGTAATTAAAAGTATGTTCAAAGAACTAAAGTCTAAAGAACTAAAGGAAAGTACAAGAACAAAGAACAAGTCCCGCCTAAGGAAGAATATCAATAGATAGAAAGAAATTACATGACAGGAAACATTCACCCAAAAATCCAAGAAGCTCACCAACTCCAAGTAGAATAAACTCACAGGTTTACACATAAACATATAACCAAATCGCTGAATGCCAAGGACAAAAGAAAGATCTGAAAGAAGAAAAGTGATTCTCAGTAACATTAATAGCTACCTACTTATCAGAAACCAGGACGATGCATTCAAAGTGCTGTCATAGTGACTGTCAGTCAAAACTTTATAACCTATAAGCTAACTAGTAAAAATGAAGAACACAGGCAGAAGTCTGCCCCACAGTTGAGACACTGGATTGAGACACCAGTATCTGGTATCAGAGTGTCTGTCTTTGATACAGGTTCCTGACTCCAGCTTCCTGCTGAGAGCCTGGGAGGCAGCGGTGATGGCTGAAGCAGCTAGGGTCCTGGTACCCACATGGAAAATCCGGATTGAGTTCCAGCTTCCACCTTGCCTGGGGCCACTGCAGACTACTTGGAGAGTGAACCTGTGGACTGGAGCTCTCTCTGTGTGTCTGTTTCCTTCTTTGTCTCTCTTTTAAAGTTTTTTTTTTTTTTAATGAAGAATTTAAGACATTCCCAAATAAACAGAAACTTAGAAAATGTGTAACCAGCCATAACACCAGCTCCAATATATTAGAATTTTTAAGATCATGGCAACATAAAAATTGATGACATACTGGAGTGGTAGGAATATGATTTTTGAATTTTATTGGCTACTATTTGTGTTAATAATAAACTAATTAAAATTTTTCTGGGGCCAGCACTGTGGCGTAGCAGGTAAGGCTGCCGCCTCCAGTGCCAGCATCCTGTGAGGGTGTCCGTTTGAGTCCCGGCTGCTCCACTTCCAGTCTAGCTCTCTGCTATGGCCTGGAAAGGCAGTGAACGATGGCCCAGGTCCTTGGGCCCTTGCACCCCTGTGGGATACCCGGAGGAGGCTTCTGGCTCCAGATCAGCACAGCTCCGGCTGTTGCGGCCGGCTGGGGAGTGAATGGGCAGATGGAGGACCTTTTTCTCTCTCTCTCTGCCTCTGATTTTCAAGTAAATAAATAAATCT